TTCATTTTAGAATACTAAATAAATAACTATGGTATGGGGACTTCAGCTTTCTTTTAAAGTATTCTAACTCCATAGATTGCTTTATATACCACAAACAATATTAAAATAAGGAAAATCAATTTTAGAGTTTTTGCTGTTCTGTGGTATAAAGTTTTTCTAGTAATTGCATTACTCCCCGCACAGCAACAGTTGACACCAAGTTAACTTGAGAACATGCCATCATTCTATCTGTCATTTTACATACAGTGCATATGATGCTCGCTCTTTCCATCTCTCATAGCAGCAAGCAGATTCTGCTGCTATCTATAGCAGCACACCCAGGAGTGGAGAGGAAGAGTGTCAGATTTATAAATAGCTAACGTCTACAGTATACAATTCTATTTACCTGTCAGTATTTAGGTTGACAGCACACCATTATGTTCTACAAGAATTTAACTAAAAAAAAGCTTCAACAATAGCAAAACCAAGACATTCCTTCAAATAGGACAAAAATAAGTGCAAATGTCTAAAGCAGGTAAACTGAAGCAACTGCTGTAACCTGTGACAAATAAAAGCATAAACAAATCTGGATTTTTTAAAAAAATGCTTTTAAAACAGCTTCAGAATAAGTAACCACAGCCCATCCTTAGTCATGTGCATGCCCATTCATGGTGGGAGTATTGATGTGACCAAGAGCTGTACAGACACAGAGCCAATAGTAAGTTCTGTGACTGTGGTAGCATGTCAAGCAAGATCACAGAAATACCTGTGACTGCAATCTACAGCCTAGTTCATATCAGCATCTCCCTGCATGAAAGCAGGCTTGAACATGGCTGAGAAAGGCCCATGGCTGCTTCTGTCAAGAAAAACTGACTGTTAACTGACTCTTTCTATCGGATGTTTAATTGGTATTATTTCTTATGGCCATATGAAGCCATATAGCATGTTATCACATTCTGTCCCTAGATAAATATATCCCTTTAATAACCAAGTTATGGGAGTACTTGGGAGTTTAAAATGACTGTATCGTCCTACATGATTTAAAAAGAACTAGTGCAATCTTTAAGCAGATGAAATGTAAATTTATATAATTACAGCTGGTAATGTTGCTGCCATTCCATGCACCAAGGCTACAATTTGCTTTTTCTCATTTCAGCTAGAGCTATTTTACCAGGAAAACAATAGCAGCTTCTAAGACAACCGGCACGCATGCACGCACACACAATAAACAAGCATACCTATATCTATATATAAATATCTACACACTGAGACTGCAATCCTGCTCATTGTTAGTGCCTGCATAGAACCATTTTATATACTGACAAGTGCAGATACTTCAAGCATCATACCACAGCAGCTAACTCTCCACCATTTTCCTCCAAGAGAATTCATTTATTCTGCCTTTTGACACTTTCACTGTGAAGTCTATGGTGCTCAAGTAAAACAGGCTTAGCCCAAAGGAACTCTTCCTCTGTGAGATGCACTTATGCTCAAGCCTGTTCTTCTCCACAACCACAACACAGTACACATTTGCTTTGATTAGGAATAGTAGCATAAGACTGGTTGGAAACGCCCTTCCTCTACCAGACAGCTCCAGTATCCCCAGTTCTTTAGCTCATTAACTTGTGCCATGAACAATACCCTTTCATAATGTTGTCAATGATATCCCTTGTGTGATACTGAGCCTTAATCTCTTCCCCCATTTGCAGATCAACCATCACCATCAACTTGTTTCTTGTTTCCCTTAAACACATCTCAGTATGTATGAAGTAGCAACATATTCCCATCACTTTCAGAGGGAACAACTGCAGATGAAAATCTGAGAATAATTCACTAAGAGGGATCCTTTATTCTCACAAGCTGCTCTCATCTCTCTGACCTCAAGAGAGACCCTGTATATTTTTATGCATGACAAGAATTGTGCCAGGGTTAATCTTACTCCAGTGTCTTTTTAATCTTAGCTTCCTATAAACCTAGAAATACTGATTTTTTTCCCCACTCTGCTTGCTGCTGATAGTTTTTTCCCTACTAAGTTCCTATATTTTGTGCACCAAAACAAAGACAGTGCAAGGGGTCCTAAAGTTTCAGAGGCTTGAAGGACAAAAGAGTTCAACTTGTAGTGTAGCTTTATACTTGTCTACCACAGACAATGGAGCATCTGGTCAGGACTGAAAGGCTGCTGTTTCTACTTTACCAAACCTGAGATGTGTGCATATAAGAAAGGAGGATATCATGGAGGCAGAAAGAGGAGGCAGTTCATCTCACAAAGCACCAAAATGGACTTAGTATGAACACATTGCACAGAGCTGTGGTTACAACAAATAAAGTGAAGGAGGGGGTTTGTGCTGTCCTGAGCAGAGGGCATTATGATACTATTCCTTTTCCCCTCCTCTCCAAACAGAAGCAAATTTCTTCTGGATTCTTCCTGTGCTTATGTTGCTTTGCAAAGCCACAGGAATATGCAGGCACTAAGTGAGATTGCAGCCTTAGGCTTTAAAATTAAAATAAATTAAACACAAACTGCCTTCCAATTTACAAAAGCTTTCCTGCTCCCACAAGCTGTACAATACATTCAACAATGGTCTCAGTTTGAGATTTATGAATACTGATGCTTTATCCTAATAAAAATCCAATCCCTTTGTCTACTCTTATTATATGTACCATTCTCAAATAAATACATTTAACACTGTAGTTAATTTGCAGCATACCTAATACTAGTAGTGCAACCTTCTATTCTTCCTTTAGTTTCCTTTCTTTTGTGTTTATAAAAAATGCTACATAAGCAAATGAGCATTTAAGCAAAAGCATTTTCAGAGTCATGCAGATTTTTCTTTCATAAAACACCAAGTACCTGTAAACCTACTCTACATTAAATGTTTCTTGAAAAGGAGAGTAGCAGTATATACTAAATAATTATTAAAAATTATCTTATAGAAAAAATATTCAGTTATTCCTTTTCCCACTTTCCTTAGAGTTGCCTTTCAAAAGTCCATTTAAAATTTGCTTTTTTAAAAAAATATTTGAATGTGACTCTTGTCGTATTCAGAAAAGAGATACAAGTTCTCCTTTACAAGGCAGTCTCAGCTGTAAAAAGCATAAAGTCCATAGTAAAAAGGTAGATTGGTACATTTCAAGATGTTCACAAGATCAGTGCCCTTGAAGTACTGCCAGTAGCTGTATAGGTGCTCAGGTATCTTCTTGCTTGCTCAGTCATAATAAGCTGATCTTCCGTCTTCCCATAAACAACAGTTTCCCATTCACAATTTGCCTGTAACACATGGTACATCTGACAATTGCTTTCCACAGGACAAATCAAACTTAATTGTTCACAGATAAATGCCATTACCATCTAATATGATGTAAAATAGTATCAATCACTTTTACCAAGAACAAATTAACATTTCATGTTTTTACCAGGTAGTCTTAAGATAGGTTCCTATTCTCAGTCTCAGTCCCCTTATCTCCAATATGGAGAAACTACACTGGCTACTGCACAGGCCAGTATAAACAATGCTAACAATGTACATGAAGAACCTGGATTTCCAGCCTACTGGAGGCACAATGCCCATGGGCAGAGAACTTTCAAAGTTCAATACAACCCTGCTTTCCCCCATTTGTTTGTCATCATGAAGAGATGTGTGTTCAGAAAGCACAACAGACCATTAAGGAAGTCTGTGCACACATTCCACACCCCCATCAAGCCATCCACCACCATACTGTGTTATTTACTTGTGTCCTGGAGCTGAAGGGGAGGATGAATGAGAATATGGGTGGCATGAAGAGACCTCCCATTCACCCCAACAGCCTTTAACTCTGTTTGTACATTGAATACATAGAAAATTTCCATGTGCAGATGCTGTGCCTGATGGACTGGAACATGTCCTTGAAATGAACAAAGTAATGATGACCATATACCAAAACAAAACAAAAAATAACCAAACTGAACAGATAATATAGTAATGTCTTGAATACAGACCTGAAGTGTTTTTTCTGTTTTGACCATTTTTGAAATGCAAGTATTCGGCTTCTTTTTCATCACTACATTCAGTTTTGTTGAACTCACATCCTGTTTCTCTGGAGTCATATTGCCTCTATTGTCATGGATTTCCAGTAGAGGTATCATTAGGAGTGATGTAGTATAAATATTTTCTGACTATATTGCAAAGAAAGAACACCTATAACTTAGGCATAGAATTAAACATTTATGTAATTGAAACAGACTAATATAATTAAGCCCCCCTAGGTTTCCACCTAGTAACTTTGGTAGAAAACTTGAGAAACATTTAGCATCATACTAAAACTAGCATCTTTTGAATGGAGGAGCTTTTGATATGACTTCAAGGGGGCTATAGTCTCCTTAATCCCAGAAATCCAACCAAAACCAACAGTGTATGGTCAGAAGATATTGCTCATTACTATGCAGGCCTGTCAGTAAAGCAACCAATAAATACCATTATGAAAAGCTCACTTAGACAATTTATTGTGGCCCCACTATCATTAGAGGCATATTTGCTAAGAGTGCAAGATAGGTGGGGGCATTCTTGGTTCAGAAACTTCCTGCAAAGATATAAGCATGTTTCTCCCTCCCTTTTCCCACTCCAGCAAGCTCAGATGAAACTTTAGAAGCATGGTCCTTTTATTTGATCTTAACAGGTTACAAAACAGTATAAATTGATTTAGTGGTCTCTTTATGATGTGAGAGAAACCTATGTAAAGAGCTGAATCCAAACTGAAATTTTCCCTCCTTCCCAACAAGAGTCTGAAACCACTTTAAGGTAGTTATTCGAGCTTGAGGTCTAGATGGTGGGAACACCAGACACATCTTAATTGGTTTGCTCACTTCACCTGTCATCTCCTGACCAAGTCAAGGAATCTCCTCCCGA